AAGAAGAAAAACAAAATGTTTTAGTATATAAGACGAAATGGAATGAATCGTAGAGGAGAGAGGACCTCGGGAGCACCGAAGTTAATCTCTTTTCGCGCGGTACGTTTATGACATTAAGTTTTCATTTTGTGTATTGTTTTATTATGTTTTTGATGTATATTTATTTTGTATGTTTTGCATTGTTTAATTATATCTATAATAAATACATTTGAGTTATTATTAAACATTTATTACTTTAAGTTAAGACACTAGGGTTGTTTCTTTTAAGATACAACAGTACCAAAATTTCAAATTTCAAATTATTTGTCAATTCCTAAAATAGTAATTAGAAAAATAGTAAGTTTTTTTTACGTCAGTAAACATTTCTATAATTTTCGTTTGTGAGGTTCATTAAAAGTTGGACACCACCCGAGAAATCATTNTTTCGTTTGTGATATTCATTAAAAGTTGGACACCACCCGAGAAATCATTCAAAATACGCCACTGGATTTTACTAAAAATCGTGGCGTTTCATTATACTAGGTATTGTCATTTACAACACCATTATCTCATCTATTTATTTAAAAAGATTCTCTGATGTAATTCACTTAGAGTTTTTTTATTCTATTTTCAGCTTTATGGCTTTCGACCCATCACTGTAATCGTTTATACTATGTGACAATGATAAATGATAAGATTTCTCCTAATCGTATTCAACCATATAGTATCAAATACTACGAAAAGAAACACAGTAATAAAAATTTGTTTAGTTTATTTAAGTGTTTATGATATAATGTGTGAAAATCAAGCTCTGCAAATTGAAATACCTAAAAACACTTTAATTTAATTTAAAAGGCTACTACGTCTTTTTTTATATGAAAAATAAACAATAGCGTAGTTTGTTTAAACTTAAAAACCATAACCCCTTTTAGTTTTTCTGGTTACCTTACCCTTATGTAAAAATGTTAATATATGCCTGTTATTGATTTATTAACATTATTATTTAATGAATAGCCTTCATAACAAACAAAAAGTTTTGAATAAAGATGTTCAATTAACATATTTTTTGATATTGATGCTAGAAACTTCTTTCTCCATAATATTTTTAAATTACGTCTATATAAATTGATAATGATCAGTAAATAATCTATAAAAAAAACTTTCTTATATCACAAAGCAAATGTAGCGTTCAATACTCATAATCACATATTATTTTAACTTTGTTTAAAAGTTTAATATAATTTGGATTAAGCTAATGTCAAAGTCATAAAAAGGTTGCTAAGAAATAAGTTAACGTTTGACAAATTGAAAAGTTTTTAATAGACGAAATAAAATGTTTAATGTATTACAGCCACCGTTTTATATTATAGGAATTCATAAATAAAAAATAAAAAAAGAGTTATTAAAATTAAAACTCTTCAAATTATGCAATTATCTTTTTTTTTATATAAAACGGTATAAAAAATGTTTGTTCAATAATTTTTATTTTTAGCCGTAATGTATAAACATTTTATCATGACACATAATATTAAATGTCTCCTTCATTGTTTCTTTTCCGCATACAAACTTAAAAAAATGAAATATAAACAAAAACAAAGCTTTTAATAAGAAACTTTCTTAACTATTCACTTCAAGAAAGTAAAAGCTTTTAGTTTCTCACGTTTTCAACATACAATTAAAAAAATATATATCTGAAATTTCCAATTCATGTATTGGAAGATTTTAATCAATATAAGGGAAAATTTAATTAAATTGTATGTCATATTTGTGTACAAAGTTTTGATATTTTATGACAAAATTACTCTATTTGTGTGTAAAATTAACGCATGTATTAAAAATATCATACGACATATTAACATTTTTGGATCAATTCTTACAGTATATAAAAATGTATGAATGATCATAATCATTTATATTTATAATTGTATATTTTGTTTGTTATATTATATATATGTATAAATAAAATTTTAACACACAAAATTATTTATTTTGAGTAAAGTATAGCATTTTAAGATTAGAGAAATAGATATTATCTTCCAAACAACATTTAGATCATTCTCAATTTAATAATATAAAATACACAATAGTTTTCCATTTGTCTTTCGACAGTTATCTCTAAATTTACCATTAGAAATAATTGTTTTTACAATAAACTTGATATTGAATATGGTTCATAAAAATCAATCAAATTATTATCTGTCAATTTTTTGAAAAAGTTATGGGGTAGTATTTTTAATAAATTACACTTAAACCACAAAAAGAAAACGTCCTTTAATTGCAAAATCTATTTTGTTATACCAATTATTACGAACTGTCACACATAATTTAAATGTAAATATATTACATTAGAGTGTATTTGACATGAAATAAATGTTATATATTAATTAATTATCAAATTTAAGAAATGGGTTGTATATTCACAAAGCTGATCCATAATCTTTAAGTGTTTCCAATTAGTTAATTAATAGTTAACTTTTATTCATAGAATTTAGATTTAATTCTATGATACAAACCATTTGTACTGACATGATAAAAAAACGGATACTGTCGTAGTTCAACCAGAATTTCACATTACTTATTATAATTATGATTAAAATAATTAACTCATTAATTAATTTATTGATAGTTATCAATAAATTAGTATAATTTATGAAAACCCGTCTTAAATTTGTATTAGAAAAATAAAAATTCATTTATAAAAAATATTTTCTGCTTCACATGGAACAAATTATCTGACAGAATATTTACACTTTATAATTATTCTTCAGTCGCAAAATTAATGAAATAGAAATCATAAATCATCATACTCGTCGGTTAGTTAAGCATCTTTTTATTCTTCTCCTATCAAAAAAAAAAAAAAATCATACAAATGAAATGTATGTATTAAAACGACAAAAGTAAATTCAATCGGCAAAAAGTAATTCGTCACGTTCGATGAAATCCTCGTGGGACTTTCATAGTCATATAACTAAACGGCGACCACTATATAAAATATATGAAATTATTGAATAAGAAAAATCGTTACTTGACAGAAATATGTATTTACACATTGTATTACCGCGCAATTAGCCGTCATTCACTCCCTGCAAACATTCTCGACAGTCTGCAAAACCCTCCCCGTTGAGTCATCGCGCGTCTAAAGGTTCATATGATCGATGATGTTCGTTGTCATCCGGGAAAAGACATTTTTTCTTGGGCTATTTTTAAGATATTGTTGTAAGCATTATCGATTAGCTATTATAATACTTTACCTTTATAGACCAAGGTGATAGAAACGACTGCCTCCCTAATATTGCAGTTATTTTTTACTTGGTATTTGTTATGACAGAGTCAAATTAGTTGTGCAGTAACAATGTTACAATGTTAAAATATAACGTTTAATGGAAAAAAAATTATATCAATATTAATATAATATATCAAGTTTTAGAATAATTTTCAGATTTATGACATTGTTTTTAAATCAATTTTGATAGTTCTCACTTTTAAAAATGATTATAAGAGGCTTGAATAATGTCTGATAAGGAAGATTTTCATTATCATTTTGAAAAATATTTTCTACAATAATGTGCATACTTTAAAATCATATTTCTAATAGCTGTTATAAACTTTTTTTAATAATAGCACATTTTTGGTAAGAAAACAATTTAAAAAGTTTTTTTTCTCAAAATCAAGCGAAATAATTTGGTTTCAAAAGAAAACAAACAAATACACACTAAATTAAAAATTTAAATCCAAATTTAAATTGGATTTTTATAAAAAATTTAATGTTTGTAAAATTAACTTTTTACACGTTTATAGTAAGGCAACGTTATTTTTGTTAAAATAAAAAATGTTAATTATTTGAATATTGCTTTGATCAATAAAAATAAGGAATTATTACTCTTATTAACTTAATCATCATTTTGTATGTTCACTTAAAATTTTTAAAATTCAAATGTGTAACCAACAACTTTAATTATTGTAGAATTAAATTATTGTCTGAGTAAAACGAATGTATTATAATGGCAAGTAATACAAAAATTTGCTCAATATTGTTTATTTAATTAACATCATAATATTCTAAGATAATGTAAAATTGAAAAATTGTAATAGGCTGGTACTCTAATAAATATAATTATAACATGTTATAATTTTATGTTATTTTAAGAAAGAAATATAATGTCCAATGTTATGGAATTATCGACAAATTTGTTTTGAAAAATAAAAATTTGTTGAGAGAAAAAAAATGAATATATATAAAAAAAATTAACGCGATTACCTGGCAAATTTTGATGACAATTTACGTAAATTTTAAAATTTTAGTTTTGAAATATTCGACTCGAACGTCTTTAGAAGTTATAATGGAAAATAGAAAAGACTTTCTTTTAAGTTACTCTGTAATTATGTCAAATATCAGAAGTCAAGGAACAAGTTTAACCATCCTTTTTTTTAATTGCTTATAATTTAAAAGCAGTTCGACTTTAACCAAAAAACATTTCAAAACATAACCATGATTATAAATAAATGATGATTTCATCAAATGTCACATAAAGTTAACAACCTGTTTTGAATAAATCAAAACTTCTAAACTGTAAGGTTTAAATGCTGCATAACTATTTTGCAAAAGAAAATATTGTATATTCTATTGTTCCTTCGTATATGCCTAATAAGACTAACATTATTTTTTAATAAATTATAAATTTTGTCAAAATACCA